CCGTCTCAGTTCATCTCTCTCAACTTGCCGTAGTTACTTTCGAGCGTAATGGGCGATCTCGCAATCGCTAATTTGTTGGCTCTACGCTGCCGTAGCGCAAAGATGTCTCCATGGCTGCGAGACCCGCTCCTATGTAATTATAAATAACGAATTCTAAGGCAACGCAAATATTAAGGTTAAAGCTGCTGTCTGTAACATTGAGAAGAGAGCAGACTTCGACTGAAAATTTGAAGAAAAACAGGTTTCACGCCACTCCCCCACCCTCTGTGCTTCACTCATGCCCCACCTCCAAGCTCCACCCCTCTCACAGCATCTGCACGGCTACCGCATGCGACCAGAAGCGTCCAAGCAGCGTACGCGGCATGGAGTGTGAACCGGTAAGAGCGATAACAGTCACCTCCAAGCAGCTAGATATAAGATGCTGGTTATACCGAAGTTTGCCGTGTAAGCAGTTGTCGGCAGGGGCAGTAAGGGCAGTTTCTCTTTCGCTGGTGGCTGTTGCTCCGCCATAACTTCCACGCGCATCCTCCTGACTGCGGCAGCCGGGCGGCAGCGGCAGGTTAAGCGGTGAGAGGGGGGGGCGGGATTCAGCGTGTATGAGCTGTGATTGACACTCAATCAGACGCTCCTCTGGCTGTGATTGGTTGTTTTGACTCGTCCCGAATTATTCTTTCCAGATTGAAATACAGGCAGTAGGCGGGACCAATTGAAGCAGTTTTTTTCACAGGTTACATATCACATGTACTGCTGTCTGGGCATAGGGACAGTTTTAGCCAATATGACAAAAAAGTGATTTTTAAAAACTTACAGACCTCAGCTTTAAGAGGCTGAGCTCGTAGATGATGATAAATAACATAGTTATGTATAATATATTACATTTCTGACTGTATATCCCTGTAATTATTACACACTGTAGCTTTAAAATACAAATAAAGTCTGAACAACAAAGTCTGACCCTTTGTCTGCTAATATTTCCATGTTTAAGAAATAAATGTTTTGTTCTGGGAGTTCAGCTTTAAATAATCTCCTCCAGTTTCTATATTTAGGACAATAAATAATGACATGATCTACAGTGTCTTTAATGGCATCTAGCTTTTACTCTGCCCTTTGCACTCTACATAAACTATCGGAAACTGAATTTCATTGATGGAGTAATCCCAAAGGATAAATAAAGTTGAGTCTAGGTCTAAGTTTCTAATTCTCCACAATCTCCCCACCAATAATTTCTGCTGTTTTCCACCCTTTCCGCTGATTTACTGCGTACAGAGTAGCTACATGGTTGGAGGAGAGACACACAGCAGCATTTAGTGAATTTTAACTGGCAGCTACTTCGATATATATTTAAGTAAAATTTAGGGGACGGATTGGTTAAAAGAATTAGAGATGCACCGAAAAATCTGTTTGTTACACAAACTGAGCTTTTTCATCTAAAAATGACAACAGGCTGTACATTTATACAAGTTTTAAAAAGCTGGGCTTCTCAGAGGACCATTACTCAGAGTTACCTATTAAAATTAACACATATCTGTTATTTTCTTATTGAACAGAGAATCAGATTGCAGAGCTTCTATATATCTTGAAAATGTGTTTCTCTGGTATCATTATATTAGTAGACAGGTGCATCAATCTGTATTTAAGCAGAGCAGAGACATAATTGGGGACAGCTGCTAATTTAAAGGTGAAACAGATTTACTGGGATATGCAACATTCAATAAAATATATCCCCATGTTTACAAGAAAACATACGCTATGCTATAATAAAATTCAACAGCAAGACTCAGAAATAGCTGTGCCAGCCAAGGCAGAGAGAGCCAGACACACAGGAAACAGACTGAAAATTAAAATATAAGAAACCTGCAAGAATTAAAACACAAATAATAAAAATCAGTGTATAAATAATTTTTGAAATATAAGGTTCAATACATTGACTTTGGGACACATTTCTAAATTTGATTTTGCTGCTTGTGAAGGAGGATAATCACTGATGCAGCTTAAAGGGAAGCCATGCATGGATGGATGGATGGAACTAAAGTTGTGTCTATTTCAGGGATGCATAATATATCGATGTTGGCATCGGTAACAGCTGCTATTCGTCATTTTTTATACATTAATGTTTATGAGCCCTTTATAAGTAATGCACTAAAGGCAGACATCTGTCTGTAGCTATACACATCCAGAGGTGTCAAGTAATGAAGTACATATACTTTGTTACTGTACTTAAGTACACTTTTTAGGTATCTATACTTTACTCCATTACTTATATTTCTTCCTACTTCTGACTTCTACTCATTACATTTTCAAACAAGTATCTGTACTTTCTATTCCTTACACTTTTAAAAGAAACGTTAGTCTTTACTCTTGGCTTTGGTTTAATGTTTATAAATATTTATTTCACGTCATGTGCGCCATCCGATGCAGATCATTGGCACAATCATCTAGTGAAAACTAGTGTAATTGGATGGGTCATATAACGCAAACACTCATTGGTTAGCTGAAGGAAATAATCAGAAGCAAGCAGGTGTTCTTCAAACTGCAAACATGAATTGTCTATGCCTCAATGTCACTCAATGTCAGATTCAGAAAAAGATGTTGAAATGTCTAAAAGTTCGGACACAGGCGAGAGCGTATCGGGAGATGGAGACGGAGACTAACAAGACCTCCTTCATCCTTGGCCCTATATCAAAGAATTAATCATATAGTGGCATCTGGCTTTTTTTTTAAGGTTACTTTATACTTTTATACTTCAAGTAGTTTAGAGAAGATTCGCTTTTTCACTTTTATTTGAGTAAAGAGGTCAAGTTGATACTTAATTAATTAATTAATTAATTAATCAATTAATCTATACTTCCACCTAAGTAACAAATGTGTGTACTTTTGACACCACTGTATATATCAGTGTACTGTGGTTCTCTGTGTTCTCAACAATAGGAAAGTATTCAATAAATATATGTTTGAGCTCATTTTTAGAAAGTATAAACCCTATTGAAAGCGTTGTGGTTGGGGTACACATATCCTTTATTCTTCCCAGGGTAAAAAGCTGCCTACCAGGCCGCAGCGCTCCTCATCCATAGAGTTTCCGAGTGGTCCAGGAAGGCAGCTTTGCTGCTGCTCTCTGTGCGGCTGTGCAGCTTCAGGGACTCTCTGGGGAAATGCAGACTCAAAAGACTTGAGTCCTGCGCGGAAAACACACAACATGAGTCATTTAGACGGGGAAAGGTTAAAAACCGATCAAAACCAGCTAAATGTCTCAGACCTGTCTGTCATCGGAGCTGTTGGCTCCAGAAAGCAGCTCGTTGTTAGATTCGCATAAGGTGGACTGTCCAGCTGGCAGCGGAGGAGGAAACAGAGCCAGCGAGCACATCTCCACTGCGGTTAAAACCTCCTTCCAGACCGCCAAGATAAACTGTCAACCATTAGGGGAGGCAAACACACATTGTTTAAGCTTACGCGTCTGGTAACAGTATAATAAACATGCTAACGCGAGCTAGCTAAATAAGTTCGCTAAATGACAATTTCAAATATAATCTAAAACATAACCATTCAGCACATAGTTAGCTATGTGCTCTAAAACTACCCTTGCTGTCAGTGTCACTTACCGTTTAATTGTTATTAATGTAGTGGATTTTATAAACAGACTTACAGCACATGCTAAATAGTTATACTTTTAGTTAATCCCGCCGTGCTTAGCTACGGCAAGCCTAAAGGGAAAAAGCGCTTCGGTTTTCCAAAGCGCTGTGAGGAAAGAAAACCGGGTATACCGCCCTCCTCGGGATGTGGTGGGGTACTGCAGAAAAACTTCAGTAGGGGGAAAAGTTGTTTAGAGGGTTTGTAGCGACTCCATAGCAAACCTCGTCGCCGTCTGGATCAGAAATGCACCCGAAAGCAATAAAAAATAAAAAGCTACACAAACCAGAATAAAAATCAAAGATAATTAGGAAAAGATGTTTGGTTATATTATTTGCCAGAAAGATCCACAGCTGGTGTGTTCTGGATTTCAAGGTGGCGTTTGGAATATTAAGTGCTGGCTAAATTACTATTATTACCGAAAATTACAAATTACTACAAATTACTAAATTACTTAAGGTTCCAGGATGTCAAATTTTTTGACATCCTGGAACCTTAATTTTACAAACATTTCTGCATATGTCCCCAAATTCTTCTTTATTACATAAGTCTGTGGCACTAAATGATGTTTCCAGCATTTATTAACTTTACCTATACATATAAAGCTGTGATGTAATCCTTTAATGGAAAGGAAAATGTATTCTGGTCTTATCCTATTTGTATTTTGTGGCTGTAATGGTGAAGGCATACTTAAACATACTTTTGAGCTAAAAATAAAAACAATAATCTAAGAATTTGAAACCTTTGCTTCATCTTCTGAAACCAAATGTGTATGTAGTTTTATGTTATTATCTTACACTGCACTATGGTCACCTTTTGCATTAAAATAATAACAATAAAAATGTTGTTGATGTTTTCTGTTTAACATCCAGCTGTGTTATTTTGTACTTTACAATCGATTTTGCTTTATATTCTTTCTTATACTTTATGGAATGTTTGTTGGAAAAGTATTATTATATTAGTATATAGTATATATAAATATGGTATAATTATTCCTTCCTTTTTAGCTTTTTTTCCCTTCAATTTTTTATGATAAGGTTTTTAGGGCTGACTCTATTCACTTTCTTTTCATAGTTTGTCATAGATTTCTACTTTTGATATAATGTAGTATTTTTCCTCCTCATCGATGGAGGCAAAAATGACTGTGGGTGCAACACCGTGTATTGCTGAAGGGAACGTCAGCAGATAGAGAGGATGAGGCATTAATGCGCACTATGCTGATCTAAAACAATAAACAGAAGCTTAAACATAAAATAAATAAAAAAAAAAATCATTGAATATGCTACCTTTCTGATACATTCCTCAAAAAGTAGCGCCCCCTTGTGGCGCAGCTCTCACTTCCGTGACGTCAATTCAGCACTGGGAAGGAGACAGCTCCCTCTCCTCCTCCTCCTCCCCCCCTCCCCCCAAAAAACCCAGCGCGCCTCACGTTGCATGGGTCCCCGGTTATTGATAACACCGTTTACCGCTGGGATCTGTCCTAGTAACGTGAGAAAAATAAAAATAAAAATAAAAACTCGTGGGAATAACTCGCTGGGAACCCAAAAGGCTGCGTGGAACGGAGGAAAACAACAAGCAGCTCAGTGAGGCGGACAAATACAAAGCCGAGCCCACCCTCTCACTTGACAACGCGACATCAACCGAGGCAGAAAGGTATGGGAATGTCATGCGTTCTGGTTAAATGCTGATTTCATGAGTTATCGGTTCATGCGGGTTTAAATGGTGCTGTGGCTTCAAGCCGCTCACACTGCACCACGGTGCCTCAGAGAAACCAATGATGCTCGATGAGAGCTTCAAAGATTATACTTGTGCACTCAGGAAAAAAGGCACATTGTGAGATACACTAATAGTGTTATAGTGCCAACGCTGGGTCCGCGTACAGCCTACAGCCGCTGCGGCAGTTTCACTTGGCATGGATCATAGTAGGCTTGCAATTCATGCGCGTCGGCTATGATGCTGCTGAGTGTCATCATCACATCCTCGGTTATTTAAAGATTGATCTTCCTGCGTGAGTGCGTGCGTGTGCGTGCGTGTGTATCCCAGCCTTGCACAGGCCCGTTGGATGTTTTTTACCCGTTAGATTGGTTTTCGCGCCCTCGTTTCCCTCTCACGAAGCGGCTCTACCTGTGCAGTGGTGCAGTACAGGGCTGTTGGACGGTATGTGCTTTCTGCTACATGTGCTCTCGTTTCTTCTCACACATGCCCCTCTTGCACTGCTGTACGTGCATGCATACGCAATGTGGCGGTTATGCAATTCTTCAGCACACACAATGGGTCTTCACTGGGGTGCATTGCTCTTGGTGGTGTCTCACGCACTGATGCTGCTCAAAGGGGCAGGTGACTAGCAGGTGTGTTGAAGAGAGAAAGAAACTGACCGTCCACGGGTGGCTTCATTCATAAAGCCCATTTCCTCTGGTGATGACTCCTCTGGGTCGTTCTGGGTTCCCATTCACAGAGACAGACATGTGGATATACTACACCTCCTTGAAAAAGTGCTTATACCAATAAAAAAAATAATAAAGCCACACATTTGAATATATTTGATTGGGATTTGTTGTAATAAACCAGCACAAATAGAAAGAACAATAATATTCTGTAGGTGTTTTGGGGATATGTTTCTAGGTTGACATATCTAGAGACTTCTTTATTTGTTTTTTTTCTTCACTGCAAATGTGCAGTGAGATTAAAGGTGAACATCTGGGAAACTTGAATTTCAAGTGTCGCATCAGATTCCCAGTTAGATTTAGGCTGGACCTTTTTAACAGATGCACATTTTGATATCATCCACTTGATTTGTCTCTTAAACACCATGTCTATGCAAAAAAAAAAAAAAAAGAAATATGTGGCACATTGTAGCCCCAGCTGCTCTGGGATTCACTGACATAAGCAAGGCTGCAGTACTTAGGTGCCTTAAGACCATTTGCAGGCAATGGGGGAGAAGTGTCTTGCTCAAAGACACAACAGCAGAGATTGACGGAGCTGGGGTTTAAACAGCGACCTAACATACTTTTCAGTACATCATTTTTGATGCATTTTGTCACCTATAGAGCATTATGTTGTTTGCAGCTTTTGTTACTGTTTGGCTACATTTAAAATTGTTTCTTTGATTAAAACAGTTGTATTATTTCTTGCTGTTTACCATGAAAACAACTGTCAATAATGTTCAGAGGGGTTTCTGCTTTATAGTCCTTCTCTGGTAGTGGTTCCACTGGGCCATTTATTTTTTCGGATGAGACCGAATTTGGTTGTGTAGGTACTCAGATCAAGAATTCAGCACTTTCAAGAAGAAAACAGAAAATGCGATAATGGCACTCATTTCAGCACTGGACAGCTCCAAAATGTAAATATTAAAGATACTGGCCAGTAGCTCACTTTAGACATAGTTTGTCATTTAACTGACATTATTAGTTAGTGATGGTTGTCTTTGAAATTTTAGTTTATTTTATTTTTTCATTTTTTGTGTTGTTAACCATAAAATCCATCCTTTATGAACACTGTATGGATTTCAATAACATGTCCATGCAGTAAAGTGTGTGGGAGTGATTTATAAAGAGGATCAGGCCTAACTAGTATTGATATCTTTGTCAGCAGATCATGAGAAATCGTTTCACAACAAGTTGCTATAAGAAGTCTATTATATGGCTACATTCAATTAATAATTTTTATTAAGAAAACAAGTTGTTAAGCTTAAATGGTGGAAAAGATACTGTGAAATAACATACTAAAGGAGAAATTTGAAAAATGTCCAATGCATTCAGTTTATGAGTGGTTAAACAGAAACAGAATTGTACCACTAATTTTGAAGAATAAAATAAACTAAACAATAAATGAATAAAATAAACTAAACAATCTTCCTTTCTTATCCAAAATTCTTGAGAAAGTAGTTGCCAAACAAGTTTGCGATCACTTCCACCATAATGAACTTTTTGAAGAGTTTCAGTCTGGCTTTAGAGCTCATCATAGCACTGAAACAGCTCTGGTGAAAGTCACTAATGATATTCTCATGGCCTCAGATAATGGACTTGTATCTGTGCTCGTCCTGTTGGATCTTAGTGCTGCATTTGATACAGTTGACCATAATATTCTTTTAGAAAGACTTGAATATTTTGTTGGAATTAAAGGAACAGCACTAGACTGGTTTAAATCTTATCTATCTGATCGAATTCAGTTTGTTCATGTTAATGATAGATCTTCAACACGCTCAAAGGTTACCTGTGGAGTACCACAGGGATCAGTGCTAGGACCAATTCTCTTTACTTTATACATGCTCCCAATTGGTAGAATTATTAGACAGCATGGGATTAATTTCCACTGTTATGCTGATGATACCCAGCTATATCTGTCTATAAATCCAGATGAAGCTAACCCATTACATAGATTACAGGCATGTCTTGAAGACATAAAAACCTGAATGACTCTTAATTTTCTGCTTCTGAATGCAGACAAAACAGAAGTTATAGTCTTTGGACCAGAGTCTCTGAAAAAGAAACTGATTAGCCAGTCACTTCATTTGGATGGGATTAAACTGATTTCAGATAATAAAGTAAAAAATATTGGTGTTATTTTTGATCAGGACCTGTCATTTAAATCCCATATCAAAGAGGTTTCTAGAATTTCCTTCTTTCATCTGAGGAACATTGCAAAAATTAGAAATATCCTGTCCAGGGGTGATGCTGAGAAACTAGTCCATGCATTTGTTACTTCAAGGCTGGACTATTGTAATTCTTTACTATCAGGAAGTCCACAAACTGTAGTTAAAAGCCTTCAGCTGATCCAAAATGCTGCAGCCAGAGTTCTAATGAAAATGAAAAAGAGAGATCATATCTCTCCTATCCTGGCTTCTCTTCATTGGCTTCCTGTTAAATCAAGAATAGAATTTAAAATCCTCCTTCTCACATATAAAGCCTTAAATGGCCAAGCTCCATCTTATATCAGAGATCTGATTGTTCCTTATGTTCCTAACAGAGCACTTCACTCTCAATCTGCAGGTTTACTAGTGGTTCCTAGAATTTCTAAAAGTAGAATGGGAGGCAGATCTTTTAGTTATCAGGCTCCTCTCCTGTGGAACCAACTACCAGTTTTAGTCCGTGAGGCAGACACCCTGTCTACTTTTAAGGCTAGGCTTAAAACTTTCATTTTTGATAAAGCTTATAGTTAGGGTGGCTCAGGTTATCCTGAGCTATCTCTATAGTTATGCTGCTATAGGCTTAGACTTTTGGAGGACATAGGGACCCCCATTTCATCATTCTGCTTCATTCTCTCTCTGTTCTCCTATTCTGCAGAATCTGTTAGTTCAATCTCTAACCTTCTGCTCTCTCTGCTTTTCCTCAGAGTAGCTTTGCCTCGTCTGTTCCTGTTTGGCTGTGACGTCATCCTGGAAAAAAACATCAGCTGTGCTGCTTCTATCAACACCCTTGTTAATAGATGTTGGAGATCGGCCTGTTTTCCAGTGTGGTCCTGTTTCTCTGACCGTGACTGAGTGGATGTGCTCTCTTCGTCCTCTGGCATGGGAGCTGCCTTGGAGCTCGTCTGCCTGGCTGTGTGTTTCCTGGACGGGGCCGCCTTTTACAGCTGCTTTTTGTATCTCTGCTTCTGTCTCCTTGAACCCCAGTCGGCCTCGGCAGATGGCCGCTCACACTGAGCCTGGTTCTGCTGGAGGTTTCTTCCTGTTAAAAGGGAGTTTTTCCTCTCCACTGTCGCTACAAGCATGCTTAGTGTGGGGGATTGTATTTGAGTCAATGAGTCAATGCAATCAACTGGTTTTCCTTAGATAGAAAACTTTGTATCAATTTGACTGTATGATCTGGTTGAACTGTAAAGTGCCTTGAGATGACATGTGTTGTGAATTTGGCGCTATATAAATAAACTGAATTGAATTGAATTGAATTGAAGATGATTCTTTTAATCTTGACTCCATAAAATCTGTTCTAAAAAGTTTGTCTAGCAGAATGCTTACCATAGCAGCTGAAAAACTCAGTTTCTGTTCTAGTTTCGGTTTCAGCAGCCAAAATATACACTAAACCGTGTTTTTTCAGTGCAAAATATATTCCATTGTGGAATTCACTGAATAACCATACTTCAGTATCCAGCAGCGTAGTGTTGTTGTTTTTTTCTGGCAGTTTGTTTACTAATTTTCTTTTTGTCAGTTGAAAGTATGTAACTGGACAGGTTTCTTTACTTTTTTTGGTAGATTAATGTTTCTGGAGGAAAAAAACAAGATAAACTAAACAGTATATTTTTGGCTGATGGTAAATTTAAGCTTGGAACTCATTCTGATATATTTCTTTTCTTTCCCTCCAGGATTTTTTTTCGCACCTGTTGTTCATCCATCCTCCCTAACCTGCTGTGTTGGGGAAACCCCTGATGAGTGGGACCTGTATCCATGAGCCCCGCGCCCCTTCCCCTTCCCTGTCAGGCTTCAGCACCCCAATCTCAGAACCCCCTTATCGGAGACTCGATGGAGACACCCCTGCCTGCACCCCTGAAACGGACCTGACCCCCACACAGTGTGTGCTTCGTAACGTACTGTCCATTGAACCTACCGTACACGGAGCCCCGAGCGGCAGCAGCCCAAGTCCAAGTGATGGGTGCACAGCTCACTTTGACAACAGCGTGCTAAAACTTCATGAACATGAGGCCTGCCAGTGTGGTGGCAGTGGCGGGGCGGAAGCGGGCCACAGTCAAGAAGCTGGAGCTGTTAGGAGCCAGTCAGAGAACATTAGGCTCCAGTCAGGCAGTGGAGGATTTTTGGAGGGACTTTTTGGCTGCCTGAAACCAGTCTGGACCATGATCGGAAAAGCTTACTCCACTGAACACAAACATAATCATGAAGGTATGATTCACCTGTGCTCTGTCAGCATCTGTGCAGGGCATCAGAAATTTATAGTACATTATATTTATAAATATAATCAAGTCTTAAAATCTAAAAAGCAATCTGAAGGATTGATTCTTTCCTTCCAATTGCACCATCTCAAATTCCAAGAATTCCAAGAATTCCAAGAATTATGACCTTATTTTTCTGGATTAAAAGATAAACCCTCAACCGAAATGTGAAGAGAAAACCAATAGGAACTTATAACTGAGGTAAACAAATATGAAATAAAAAGTTTAATAAACTAAGGTCTATTTATCAAAGCAGGTAAAATATATATATATATATATATATATATATATATATATATATATATATATATATATATATATATATAGAACAAATGCTATTTTTACAAATTACTGTAAAGGGGAAATTTATTGTTTAATTTCAATTTTCCAACTCTAAATAAATCTGAACTAAACAGAGTTAACTGGCCCTTAGGTCAAACAAACTGAGCTTAGTGGCCTAATTTCAAGTTAGAAGCTTTATTACTGTGAGAATGAAAGGAAAATCAAGGAGTTAAAAACCAGGCGTAGGGCTTTTTACTTTGGATCAGACAAGTTTTTTATTATCAAGGAACCAACTGGTCTTTCATCTTAGTTTTTTCTGTTTGAACAGTGTAGACGTCTGCCCTCGCGTCACACCTGAACCAACAGCTGTCAGTAATGGTGCAGGCCTTTAAGATTCCTTGAGGTTCTCCAGTTAGGATTCAGAGTTGGGAGATACACAAAATAAAAAAAAACTGTCTAAAAAAGTAATGGTGAGCAATTGGACTCTTGCACAGTTTTACAACAAAATAGAGAAATTTTGCCTTAATTCCAATTAAAGCTTATTGGTGATCACGCCTCTGTTCTGAATCAGACAGGCAGAGTTTCTTGAGTTATGAGTTTTAAATCTCTCTGAACTCAGTGGAGTTACGTTTAGGACATATTAACATAATTGACACATCATATTGCCAAGCAAAACTGTAGCTAAAGCATTTTCTAAGGTAGTTTCCGCTTATTAGAGAGAGACCAAACATGTTAGTGAACCACCATGACTTAAGACAAAATGCTACGATTACTAGGGCTTTTTTTACATTTCTTCCTCAATATGGAAGTCCCTATTTAATATTCATTATTTTGGAAATTGGTTCGGTACCAGCCAAATAACAACTATAGGGATATATCAACCTACATCTAAAACTTATCAACAAACTTATAAAAGTACTCTGCTTCCATCTGCTTAAATTTTATGTTGTTTATGATTTATTATGTTAATAATAAATCGGTCAGTTGTTCTGTTGTTGTTGACTATTGTTCTCTGTTTGACTAAATGTCACTTGATCAAGACCTCTTTAACATTCCACACTAAAAATGGGTGAAAAAGAATATATGATTAATGCTTATATTGTATCGCAATAATCTTGTTATCGGTCCGTACTGAAAGCTGTGATATCGGTTTTATAAAGAAAATATCAAATCAGGACATCCCTTTTATAACTAGAAATGTCTACATTCAAGGTTAAACATATTAAAAGATCTTTAAATTTTGATTTATAATAGAGTATTTCAAATATGTCTGAAGTTCTATATTGGCAAAATTACAACTTCCACATAAGAAAACACTTTAATTCTAATTTTTCAGGAATTTAGCAAAAGGTTCCCTTTTCGCCTACTTCTTTTCAAATATTTAAACTAAAATATTATAAAAAAAAGTAAATCTAATATTTACGAAATCTAAAAATGAACCTGTTGTTATCAGATCTTCAATGATTTACAGCTGAGAAATCAAAGTCATTGAAATTTACCAGTCAGAAAAGCTTTATACAGTCATTTATATTACTTCGGTAGTTCAGTGAACCACAATGATATTTATTATTCATAAATAAAGGGATCAAGGACCAATGGTGTATCTTCTCTGGTTTGAACCCTTTTCAAAAATCACTTAGAAAGATAAATCCTGGAGATCACAAATAAACCAAAATCACACATCTTAAACAATGCCGGGCTTGTTTCAAGAGAGGCTGGTTTCAATATGTAGAAAGATAGTGAGCAATATTTGAATCCATAGCAGAAATCCCCTAAAACTCTGCAAACAGTTACCATCAAACCTGTTGTTTATCTCTAAAACGTATGGTCAAATATTATGTTGACTGTTCAAAGAAAGTGAACATTGTGATGCCTGCCTGAGGACCTGGATGACGTGCTTTAAATCGTGAAACCTTGAATTTTACTACTAAGCAGGAAGAATGAAGTCTGAACTTAAAAAAAAAACAAACAAAGTGTGAGTTAGTTTATCTTTCACTTATTGAAAGCAGTTAAATAAAGCCACTTACAGCGGTGACTACTTTTTTTTCTATATTGAAGGATTTGATGTGGGGTTTATTTTTTCTTGTATTTTATCAGCCACGGCTGAGTGAAATATTGTAAAGCTAAAATGTGGAATATGTAGCCCTGAAATGTATAGATAAAGTAAAAATGCTGAGTAGAAAAGATAGCTACTGAAATTAGAAAATTAGAACACTACTTGATTATCTTCACCGTATTAGAAAACTAACATCGCTCAGTGCTTACGAGTTTTACTTCATCCATCTGGAGGGGTATCTGTGTTTTTGGTGCCCGTCAGCCAGCTCAGTGAACGTCACAGCTGGTCAGGTGAAGAGGGGGAACTGGGGGCACCATGTGCATCATCACCCTCTGCAGCTGCTGCTCCCAAGAGATCTCAGCCATTCAGTGGACCTCATGAAGAATTGATTGCATGTCTCCTTTGCTCTCCCAGGCTTGTCTGTCTTTACCGACTGAGCCTTCACAGTCATTTAAGCAATGTCAGTTTGACAGATGACAGACAGATTAAACTATGAGTGAATTGTTGGGTTTCTTTCCCCCATTTTTTCCTGACATAAACGCAATTGCTTGCTTCATAAACTGCTGATGATCAATTTTTTTATCCTTAAATCTGCTTGTTGTGATACAGTTTGTCCTGAGGTATTTAGATGTGTAATTTTCTTACTTATCCACCCTACTTAGTTCACTTTCTCCATGCTGACAAGTGCTTATGCTCTCTGCAATGGCTTGCTCCATGCTGACAAGTGCTTATGCTCTCTGCAATGGCTTGCTCCATGCTGACAAGTGCTTATGCTCTCTGCAATGGCTTGCACAGGTGTCCAGACCTCTTTAATCATATCACATCGTGTCATGTTTCAACCACAAATCTCAGTGTATTGTACTGGACATTTATCTGATATACCATATCTGAAAATTGTAAAGTGTAAATTGTAAAGTATAAAAAAGATTACTAATGCTTTTTAAAATTTAAAGTGAATGAAAAAAATCCTCAAAATCTGTGGTATAATTTAAACTAGCCTGATTTTTATCCAAGGGTATCAAAGCAAACAGGCCTGAACAAACATTCACACCATACTCTTAAGATTTAATTAGCAAAAGATAAAAATAATAATAATAAAAAAACATTACACATTCTCCATCCACATTACAAGTTTGTGCTATCTTGTACTGAGGTTTAAAATAGAATACCAGAAAATATATTTTTCTAGATTCGGTTTTTTATCTTGATAAAATTGGAAAAGTTTTATGTTGTATGAGTATGTTTTGAAGGCACTATTAGGAGGTATATCAAGAACACTACTAAAAATATAGCATTGTATAATTGTGCTCTTTTGTTTGTTGGTATTTAGAGTCCTGGGAGGTTCCCTTTGAGGAAATTTCTGACCTGCAGTGGGTGGGCAGCGGGGCACAAGGGGCTGTCTTCCTTGGAAAGCTGCATGGAGAAGAGGTAGCTGTAAAGAAAGTACGGGACATCAAGGAGACTGAGATCAAACACCTGCGCAAACTGAAGCACCCAAATATCATCACTTTCAAGTAAGGAAACTGCCGCTGTGACAGCCTTTAAGTCATCTACCCTGATTGTTCCTCCTTTTTATGTCCATCTGTATTTTTGTCTGAATGGCATCCTTCCTTCCAGAGGTGTGTGCACCCAGGCTCCGTGCTACTGTATCCTGATGGAATACTGTGCCCAAGGCCAACTGTATGAGGTGCTGAGGGCGGGCCGTAAAATCACCCCTTGCCTCCTGGTTGAATGGTCCATGGGCATCGCAGGGGGCATGAACTATTTACACCTCCACAAAATCATCCACCGAGACCTCAAATCCCCAAAGTAAGACCGGGCTCTGTCCGCTTGGAAAAGATGGCTTACGGAGATACGTTTTGCTAATTATTTCCGCTTTTTATTTCTAGCATGCTGATCACACATGATGACATGGTGAAGATTTCTGACTTTGGGACCTCTAAGGAGCTCAGTGACAAGAGCACTAAGATGTCGTTTGCCGGCACGGTGGCCTGGATGGCTCCTGAAGTCATTCGGAATGAACCAGTGTCAGAAAAAGTGGATATCTGGTACTTTTTCTTTCTATTAATACTAAAATAGCAAATTATTATCACTATTATTATTATTATTATTATTATTATTATTATACTCATGGATATATTTCACTCAAACTTTAAGATTTATGTATAGACATCATATAACGAATTCCCATTTTTTTTTTTTTCAGATAATTTTAACTCAAATCTATTAAATAAACCTTACATGATCCATATGCAATTGTATAATATCGTTTATGTTTTAGATACATACATTTTTTGGTTAATTTAGATTTAATTAATTATTCTTTTTTTAAATAAATACAAATTTGTACATTTAGTGCAAATACCTGAAGTTTATTGTTTGAATTGCACAAAAGTAACCTGATTATTATTCAGTTAAGACTATTAAACTCTCTACATTTAAAATAAATACAATAATTATTATTCATTTCGAGTAAGTAAACCTTTTTCATTTTCATTTCATTTCATATATAAATATGACAATTATTTATTCTAAATAAAAAAAAGTATGCATTGGGTAAGGTTTATTTAATAGGTTTGTATTAAAATTATGTAATAAAGTTACTTAAATCTTGTAAGTGTATTTACTTCTGCAGTTTACTTCTATCTTGGTTCAACTTAAAGGAATAGTACACCCAAAACATGATTAGCCTTCATTTTCTACTCACCCCCATGCTGAACAACACTCTGGAGTACTTTTTTGATATCTCAAATGCATCTGGAGATCTGAGAAGCTTCTTGCTGTCTGCTGACATTCAAATAATGGAGGTGCCCAGCGCCCGAGGCAGAAAGGTCCATAAAAGCCCACAAAAAACGTGTCAATATTCCTCCATACTGCTCGTCCAATGTATTCCAAGTGTCCTGAGTGGGTAGCATCCAGAATTTACTCGAAACGAAGTTATTTAGAATGTTTTTAGAGCATAAACAGTAGTGTATAGGATTTCCTGAAAGCGTGCACCTTTCTGTCTCGGGCACCATAGACCTCCATGCATTTGAGATATCAAAAAAGTACTCCAGAGTATTGTTCAGCATGGGGGTGAGTAGAAAATGAAGGCTAATCATGTTTTGGGTGTACTATTCCTTTAAAGGTCCTTTGGTGTGGTACTGTGGGAGATGCTTACTGGGGAGATTCCATACAAAGATGTAGATTCTTCTGCCATCATCTGGGGCGTGGGAAATAACAGCCTGCAGCTGCCCATCCCTGAGAGCTGCCCGGATGGCTTCAAGATCCTCCTCAGACAGTGCTGGTGAGTAGAGCCTGCAGACGAAAAGCAGTGCAGAGGATTTTAATGATGAGAGTTGTGGAGACAGTTTCTGAGAGTGGCTGCACAGGGAGGTGTTAGTGTGTAGTTTTGAAGACTTTATTGATTTTACTTTGTATGGTGAGTGTACACAGCTGTGTTTCCTGTTTTGGATTTTCAGGAACTGTAAGCCCAGAAATAGGCCTTCTTTCCGACAGATCCTCCTTCATCTGGATATAGCCTCAGCTGATGTACTCTCCACCCCACAGGAGACATACTTTAAATCTCAGGTATGGCTGCTTTAATGCTAATTGTGTTTATAATTGCTTTTAATTATGCATGAAAGTTGTTGTTGTTGTTCCGGCTGAAAGTTTATATACACCGAATAATGAACCATCAATGCTATATTAATCTTTGATATTTTAAGGATTTTGTTTTATAGTTTCTGTAGGGACACAGCTTCCATTTGTGATTTTATTCATTAAACAGATAACCAAAAGTATATGTTTTAAAGCTATACAAATATGTAATGGCAGTTATTTTTTGCACAGCATTTAAGTACATTAGCTGACTGAGTCCTCAGTTGTTTGAAATAAATCTTATTTCTACTCATAGGGAAGAAAAATGGATAGCAGCTGTGGCATCTTTGGCCTATAAGTAAAAAAATGAATAAAAAAACAAAACAATGAGGATGTGAATTGACCTATTAATGAGTTTAGTTTAAATTTAAGCCAAAGGCAGCATAGTTACTTTTAGAGCAAGGGGATAAATATAGCATCAATGTAGATCCTCACAGAGACGGCTGAGTCATGGCCACATACACTCATTAAGATACACACATGCTCAGATGAACATGGACACTGCATTGCTAGATGAACTGATCACCATGAGCTAAGTTTCTATCATTTTCATTTACATTAAAAAAATAAAATCAAAGTTGGCTTAGTTAAAATTTCTTAAAACTGTGTGTCCTCATGGACAGGTTTCAAAATATAGGCACCATATTTAGTCAAGTCTGTTTTAAGATGAAAAAATTTTATATTCTTAGGGATTTCTGGCAAGAGAAGAGGTCAAATTGTATCCAAATGATAGTGGGAGTGTGGGCATATTGATATTGAACCTATATTTATAAAATTACTCTTTTTTTTTAATGGAAGGTTCCAGTTCATCATTACAAGCCTAAATGTTTGCTATTCCTGCACAATGTGTCTATTATTGTCATATGAAATAAGATTTATGAATAACTAACTAACATGACAATGTAAACTTCTGATCAAAACTATATCAGATGGGATGGAAATAACTACATGTTCAATATGTTGTTACATTATACCACCAGAAGAAGATTCTGTACTGATAAAAATGATGTTTCTTCTTAGGAGCTATAATGGGACATTTTCTGTTTCGTACATGTAGTTAAATACATTTGCAAATATATAAGCTTCTTGATGTTATTTGAGTAAGTAAGGAGCTTGTAACTCTCATACTGTATTCCTTGACTTGTTCATAATAATATGTGGCAAATTACATTTCTATTATCACTCTACCTATCACTCTCTATAATGTAAATAGAAAAAGTTAAAACAAATGCTTTCCTTTCTCCTTAAATCAGAGTTCAGTTTTCAATAAGATTACAAACTAATTAGAAAATTGGAGTTAAGCACCTAAAAGTTAATCTATCCATCCATCCCTCTTAACATCCATCCATCCATCCATCCATCCATCCATCCATCCATCCATCCATCCATCCATCCATCCATCCATCCATCCATCCATCCATCCATCCATCCATCCATCCATCCATCCATCCATCCCAATCTTTCTCCTGTATTTTCTATTCTTGACAAAATTATTTACAAAGGCAAGACATATTGTTTTGCACAATATTTTGATTACTGTCAATTAATTAAAAATACACCGTATGTTCATGTACAACAGTAGGCAAAGGCACACACTTAAGCTCACAAAGTAATCAGTTAAATGAAATGCCACACATCAGAGGGAGTGTGAGCATAGAGTTGGTGCAGAGTTGGTGAACAGAAATGTGCTCTCATCAGGCTGAATGGAGAGAGGAGGTGAAACAGCACTTTGAGAAGATTAAATCCGAGGGAACTTGTCTCCATCGGCTCGACGAGGAACTGATTAACCGCCGCAGGGAGGAGCTGAGGTTAGTTTGTTACAAGTGTATTTATAGTTGTCAAATTAATACAGCAGGCTCTGCCAAAATGCTGGTAAACTTACAGTCATCATCATCCTCTAGCATGTGTCTGTGAGGTTCATGGGAGGCTGGTGTACATCTCAGCCTGTGCACCCAGACTGCCTCACACCTTCTACAATGGGATACCAGTCAGGAAGGGAGGAGGTTAAGCCCTATCTGATGAGACCAACAAATTCAGTGAAAACAGTTTAAAACTAATCAGATAACAAAGTAATTGATGCAAAAACATATTTTTTTAAAAGAAAAGTTTTGACAGCAGCCCACTGTTAAGATTTTTAATGATATAACTCTTTTGGACATAATAAAGGGCATCATTAAAACATTTCTCATTTGCAGCTTCAATCTTGACTGTTATGAATACAGAAAAACTATGTTGCATTATGGGGCTACCTACCACACTCCTATTGGTCCAGTCTCTTTAAAACAGACTATTGAGCCTAACCAGACTGATTTAGATGGGGCAAAAGCCAGTCTCGTATGGAGGGTCTGCAAGGTAACAGTGCTGCAAACTGCACCGCCATACAGTTCCTAAGGCATACAGTTGGGTATGCGTTTTAGAGCAGGTTTAGGATATCAAACAGTGCCCTAAGCTTAGAACATGTGATATCTAGCATAGCCCTCTTTGATTCAACCATCACCTACTAGAAACTACTATGAAATGGCTGTCTTACCAAACATTGGAGAGGAAAGTTTTAATCAGAAATCAGTTGTTTTAAGAGGACAACTGTTAAAAGAGATTGAAGATGTAGGTTTTATATAAGAAGAAATCAGTTGTTAAAAAAGCCACAAAAGAATAGATTTGATTAAGGGACGCAGCAATATGTGCAAGAAGGTGCTCCAGTCACATAGGAAAAAGGGATAGACAAATGATGCTACGTCAACTACTGCACCTTATCCCACGGTGATATGTGGTGGTAGTAGTATCTTGGTGTAGGGATCTTTTTAATCAGCAAGAACACTAAGGCTGGTTAAAGTGGACAGGAAGGAGGATGACGCTAAATGAAGTACAGTTATGGAAGAAAATCTGCAAGAAACTGAAAAAGCCTGGGAGCGAGGTTTACTTCCCTTGAAGACAAAATTAATTTGATTGAATAATATTCGTGTCTTAGTAAGGCTCGATCAAAGACATGGCCATCCAGCTAAACTTGAAAATTGATCCTCACATAGACCTTTCTTTCAGTCTGACAGAGCTTCCACTATTTTACAAAAAGAGGAATGGGCAAAATGATTCAAACATGCATACCTGCTACCTACCTACACCAGAAGATTTTTACCTGTGACTGCAGCAAGATTGTTCTCACACCACATATAGAATGGTGCACAGCGCACCGTCTTGCCTTTCAGCAAGAAGGTTCTGGGTTAAATTCCCAGCCCGGATTCTTTCTGCATAGAGTTTTCATGTTCTCCCTATGCAAGCATGTGTTCTCTCCAGGTACTCAGGCCTTCTCCCACAGTCCAAAAACATGACTGTTAGGTTAAATGTGTCTCTGTGTCGTTGGCATCCTGGGTGTACCCCGCCTCTCGCCTATAGACTGCCAGCGGCCCCCTGGCGGAATAAGCGGGAGAAGATGGATGAATGTTGACACAGAGGGCCTGAATGCCAATCAAAATCCCACTTTTCAGATTAGAAGATTAGAAAAACATTAAAATGCAGAATTTTCTGCTTACAACTTGACAAAATTAAAACAAATTCAAGCGGTAATAATACTTTTAAAATCACTGTAAAATATGAATGCGTGAAGCCTCTACCTTCCATTTCAATTTTTGTTACCCTTCCTTTTTTTGCCCCAGCAGATAAAATAAGTGCCTTCATTGCATGTCTCTTAAAGAGGGTCTGGATTCTTTCATAGGGATTTACAATGACATTAACAACTTCTTTCTTTTTTCAGGCATGCCTTGGACATCCGTGAACACTATGAGAGGAAACTGGAGAGGGCCAATAACCTTTACATGGAGCTCAGTGCTGTGATGCTGCAGCTGGAGCTGAAAGAGAAAGAGTTGCAGAGGTATAAATAAGGTCTTTAAAGCATGTTCAAAAGTGGAGCATATTACAAGATTATGGGTTTCAGCCTTTTGGAGTTATATTGTTTCTTTTTCTTTCTTTTAGGAGAGAGCAGTCTTTGGATAAAAAGTATCCCGGTTTGTTCAAGCACCACAGCTCCAGACAAAGCAGCTCTTCCAACTCTATGGACAAGCTAATCAAAAAAAGAAATGTCCCACAAAAACTGCCCTCCAGCAAGAGGTACAAGGTTTAACTCCTGTCCGTATTAAATGACAGATTAATTCTGAAGTAAATAAATGTTCATTTGGCAAATGGAGAACAGGTGGTGACTATTAAATTCCCCTTTTCTAGGCCAGACATCCTGAAGTCAGAGGTAATTCTTCCTAAAATGGATTCTTCTGTGATGCAAGTCACTATCCCAGCCTGCCCAAACAGGAGCTCCACTTCTCCCAGCCGGTCTCGGAGAGTAAAAACCCGCCATCGCAAGCCTGGTAAAGGCAGCAGTGGAGACCTAGCTGGTCTTAAGGCAAACCAGTCCTCTTCTAACAGGGAAACAGCAGCGCAGGCTAAAAATGCCACCAACAACTCTAAGCAGCTCCTGGAACCAGCAGCAGCGCTGCGGGGTCTCAGCCACGAGCAGCAGCAGAGGCAGCTGTCCTCCTCCAGCCCTGACCTCATCTGCACCACACTGGAGGCGGAGAGCCTGGGGAAAAGGGAATCCTCAGTGAGTGGGCTGGAAAGAGGGGGCAGCCTCAGCGCCTCTGCTGGGTTAGGGGGGTCCGAGGGAGGGGCAACAGGTCTGGATGATCTCACAGAAACCCCCCCACGAAGTGACACTCCCAGCGAGGATGCTGCATCATTCCCATTCTCCAGTAGCCCAGACTCACCATGTGGGAGAGGAGCGGCAGCTGGAAGAGGATCCCTGGGATCTCCTCGGCTTCCTCATGACGGGGAGGATAAGGATGAGGGAGCCAGCTCTGTAAGGATACCTCGGGGGGCTTCAGGGGGGATTGGGACCCAGCACCTCACACCTTCAGCCATTCTGTATAGGGCAGCTATCACACGCAAGCAGGTACAGGACTGAGTAACCGTTCATGTCCCTCAACAGCCGCCTGAGCTTTTTCTCATTTGTGCACTTTCCATTTTTCTTTTTTTTTTTTCCTACAGAGGCGTGGGGTGTCATCAGAAGAGGAGGAGGGTGAAGTTGACAGTGAGGTTGAGTTGCCACGGAGACGGTGAGTAACTTGCTGTCATATGTTACTGGAAAAAGTGACGTTTCTTGATCAAATCTACTGGGGGACCAGGGTGGGGCAAGGGTTACTTTCATGGTGGCACAGAATAAAAAAAAAAAAAAAAAAGAGCAAAGGTTAATAAATTAGTATATTAAGTTAGCCAAAAAGCCGATGAGATATAGCAGAGGGAAACTGGGATCCTGTCTGAATTCAGCTGAAACTAAAAAAGCAACAGCTTAATTTTTAAATATTGTTAAAATAAAACTGTAAAGGTAGAAAGCTCTGACCCCATGCTCAGAGATGCCAATGAGTGGAACATTTTTCTAAAACCTTCCTCCATGTCTTCATAGATTTATTTAAAGAATAAGAATAATTTTCCACTTTTGCTTCACTACAGCCGTCCAACTAGCATCACCAAGTGCCAGTCGGTTTCTACCTTCAGCTCAGAAAACCTCTCGGTATCAGACGGTGAGGAGGGCCACACCACTGACCACTCTCACAGCGGCACGCCTGACGTGGTCAGCACAAACACAGACGACAGGTTGGACGACCGTAGTGATGACCTCCTCTCCCAGGGGTCGGAGATCCCAGCAGACAACACTGATCCTGCACAGACGTCTGACGGTCTGTCGGAGAGGGATGGTGCTCCGGGCCAAAGCAAACCTCAGCTGGACGCCGGGCAGAATCCTAATAAGGTAAAAGAAAACCCACAGTGGTTTGAATATGTCATTTTGTATTGTTCTTTCAGAAAGAAGAAAAAACAACACAACCAACTGAAAATAGAAAGCAAAAAATAAAAACAACTTTATGTCGTCAACAATGACACAAATCAGTCGGATTTATACCTTGTTGCAGCAAAGGCCTTAGTGTAGTTCTATAGGGATTCTATTAGATAGACAAACAAAAAAATAGCAAATTGCTTCGAAAAGGAAGTAATATTACACACAGGGCCAGACCTACTAAGATCCCAATATAGAAGTGCTAAACTGCTTGTGAAAATAAATATTTGCTTGTGCAATTAGCTGATGTCTTGCAGGTTATCTAAGGTACCATGCCGGTTTAATAAGAGGAGCAAAAGTGGTGCAGACTGCTCTATTTAAAGCCTCAACAAAATGTTACTTATTTAGCACTTTAAGATGCATATCAGCAGGTAAAAGTGCTTTACACATGCAAGAGCTAATAATTTTAAACTTAACAGAGTACAGACTAGAAAAAATAATACATAAAAATATCAAATATAGAGCAGGGAGATTTAGAAAAAAATATAAAACTACAAAGGTCATCGTCTAAACCTGGGTTAAAAGCCTTAAAGGTAAACAGTGTTTTAAAAGAAGATTTAATTACAGTAAGTGATTCCAGTTGTTCAATTTTTAAATGTCATTTGTTCCAGAGTTTTGGTGCTATATCAAAGGAAGAGTGGTCACCTCTTTGTTCTCTATGCTTTGGAACGATCAAAAAAAATGTATCTACTGGCCTGAGCAAAACAGAATGGATTTATTTTTCTCAGTTCCAATGGCAGTTAAATATCAGGGTTAATGGAAAAGATGCAGACAGAAAAGCAGAGAAATGACTTTCTCTGCTTTCTTTGTTGAAATTAAAATAATCAGGCGACTTGGAGGCACAAACACTAACTTCATGTATATGGGTAATTCAAATTCTCAAAACCATTCATGGTCATGATGGTAATGGGTTAATACCTTGTTAGTCAGAAATCTTTGTTACCTTATTTCTCCAGAAACCCCAGACGCATACAGTAATACTCTTTTTTTAATGAATGGAGAACATATTCTTTTCCTTTTCTTAATTACAGACAATGTTACACATAAAGAAAGGGAAAAAACTGTTGGTTGGTCAGAGAACAAAATTTTTCTATTTTTTTTTTTTTTTACAAATGATCATCATTCGCAATGCTTAATTTTACCAACAAACAACGTGAGAAGAAGCTGCTGTAGATTGTGAGTTTTCACCAACTTAATGCCACTTCTATCAAAGAGTACATTTATATTTACAAATGCTCAGTTCAGTTCAGTTCAGTAGCTCTTATTTGTCCCAGTATGGGCAATGTTTGTGCAGTAGTAGTACACCTTTCACACACACATTCATATTTCACAAATAAAAACACAAGAAACACATCAAATATTTTAAAAAGATAAAATTAAGGTGGATAAAAAAATCATTGCAATTCATTATACCCTTCTCAAAATTAAAGACTTATTGCAAACTACTTTTCCTTTTTGATCTGACAATTACGATTAGAAGGATATAGGGACAGGTGCAAGGCGATACAACAACCCCCTGTCCTCCAACCTCTAAAATGAATCCAGTCGTATTGGACAGCACACCAGAAAGAATTTATGGGAGATGCCAAAGCTAACTTGTTGGTTTTCTGGAAAGATGCTTCCAGATGCAAAGCAATGCAGGGGTGCAATGAGTTAAACATGTAATAATCTTGCATAGTCTTCTCCTTTACTCTGATGCACTGGGGTATCTGAGTAAAAAGTGAAGTGGAACCAACTGCCTTTATAAAATTATTTCATCATAAATCCAGCTGTTCTGTGGAGACTTCTGGGATTTGTTTGTGATCATTAGAGAATGAACGGGTTCAGGAAGAATAGGAAACAGAGCAGACAGGTCAGGGAAAAGGTTATGGAGAATATTAAAGCAACATTGGGTATAAAAAAACAAAGAGCCAAGCTTTAAACATCTCACAAGTGAAGGGAGCTAAAAGACCAACATTCTTCCAAATATGAAAGAAAAAGTCCATATTCACCTTGTTCAGATTATTCTCCAAGTAAAGGCAATGTGTGGCAGAAAAATCTTTTCTAGGAGAAAGCAGTTTCTCCTTAAAAGGGTTTTCAAAGCCTGAACACACCATCCACATCATGTAACATGGTGGTGGCAGCATCATGCTCTCAGGATGCTTTCTTTCACAAAGGACATGAAGTGATGAGTTGATGGGATGAGGAATGGAACAAAACACAGGGACAGGTGTAAAGAAAACTTTAAGGCCATATTAGACTATAGACCACAGCAAAAGTTAATCTTCCTGCAGAATAGCAACCTGAAACTTACCAACAGAGTCCCAATGGAATGGCTAAGGAGAACGCATTAGAACAGCATAAGTCAAACTCTTCAGGGAAATTTGAAGAAGTTTGAGAGGTAAAAATAGTTTAGAAAGTTTCCAGTTTAAGAAGAAATGCCTGTGGTCTAAGCACATGCAAGAGAAGCAAAAGATAAAGCTACTGGACTGTTTCTAGAATTGAGAAATGACCTACACCATGAAGTTTAGCCGAAAACTCTTCCCTGCAGAACATGTTCCTGTGTGGTTGCAATTGGAGTACATCATATTCTAAATATTGCATTGCCTTTATATTTACTTTAACATGATTACAAAACGGGCTGCTCAGTGGAACAGTGGGTTGCACTGCTGCCTTGCAGGAAGGTTCTGTGTTAGATTTTCGGGCTGGGGTCTTTCTGCATGAAGATTGCATGTTCTCCCTGTGCATGCGTGGGTTCTCTCCGGTTACTCTGGCTTTTTCCCACAGTCCAAAAACATGACTGTTAGGTTAACTGGCCTCTCTAAATTCTACTTAGGAGTGAGTGTGTGCGTGAATGGTTGTTTGTCCTGTTTGTCTCTGTGTTGCCCTGCGATGGATTGGCGAGCTTTCCAGGGTGTAGCAGACCTCTCCCACGTGGACTGCTGTAGATAGGCACCAGCACCCCTCGCGACCCCAGCTGCCCAGCTGGGATAAAGCATGATGGAAAATGGATGGATGGATGATTACAAAACATATTTAACAGAATCCTTTTTCAAATAATTGTTATGTCTATTTATCAAGGTTAAATAGGTGAAATTAGTCATATTTACTTTCATTTGTGTTCATTTCAAGATACAAACGTCAATAATTACTCCATAAAAGCATGCATTTATTTAACATGGTAAATAATTCACTTTGACTCTGTTTTTTGTATTTTTTATTTTAGAGTCTTGAAACAGATAACTAAAGTTAGTGTGTCAATATCTGATGATGTGATGTTATAATTTCCATAAAGTCTTTTATAGGGAGCTTTTCTACAAGAATTAAGCTATTCAATTGCATTGCTCTTTCTTGTGCAGTGCCAAATAAGAAGAAGAGTTTGCTAAAGTCATTCATTTAAATTGGGATAATCCAGACAAAAAAAAAAAAACTCATAATAGAAAATAGCACAAAAAATAATATGTAAATCTATATACCTTTTTGTTCCCAGAAGTGTACAGATATCTGCAGAGGTGGACATTATGGGTCAAGCATGTAAAAGCCCTTTTCCTCATGTTGTTCACTTAACTAGGTGATTGGTCCCTGGGTTTGGCCCTTAAATTGCTAATTGGTAAAAACTCTTAAACCAAAGTGAAAGTGTGTCAGTGGTAACCATGATGCATACTGTCCAAGTAGTGCTGGCAGTGAGGAAGATGGTGGAAAAAAGGGAGCAGCATACTTCCAACAATAGTTAACTTAGCATGGGTACCTCTTGAGGCTCACATCTGGTCTTTTGGAGCTATATTGATTCCCACAGTTCTTTATGTGACAGGAGATATAAGCACAGCCCACCTCATGGAATTTGACAAAAAAAAATAGATTTACTTATGTGTACTCCGTGTGTCACATGCAAATCTACACACCTTTATATGTTTTAGATTTAATAATGAGAACTACAGCCATTGGTGTTACTAAAGTTTTATTTCTGGTCAGCTGTAGTCCCAGATTTGACAAAGATCATCCACATACGGTAAAGTCCTGTTATGACGTCCGTCAGGCTGTAGGATGTTTTGATTCATCCTTTTTCAACCACGATAGTGTTTTTACTGTTGATCTCGCAAAAGGAAGAAGAATTAGAGGCTACAACTGGGTATATTCAGTTGGACCCCCTGTTTATATTAGGAAGCTGAAAATGCAAATGGTTTGAACTAATCTCTGTCTAAAGTTTTTACTTTCTGGAATTGCATTTCCCACATTGTCATCTCTGGAATAATGTCTTTTGTTCATAATTTTAAGATACTTTTCTTATAACACTTTCACACCAATTCTGTATGTGACACATTTTCTGCCCTCTTTTTCGTCAGAGCCGCGTCTTGTGCGACGATTCTGACTGTGACAGTGCTGAACTGGATCAGTCAGGCAGTGGAGAGCCAAGTCGACCCCCTAGTGCCGGAGCGTGGGTGTCGCCATCCCAACCCTATCAGGTGTCTCCACAGACGCCCAACACTGGACATCCACTCTAGATCGTCAGTCCTAAACAAAGACCTTCAGCCAGCTTACAACGAGCAACCATCACAGGCGTACACCAATCTGTCAGTGCAGTACATTACTGTTGCCATGAAGGACCACAACTAATAAAACACTCAGACAATGACAAGTAGGCTTATGGTGTCTCATAAGTGTTGGCAGGCAAACCTGTATTGGATTGTATAGGACATTTGACATAACATTACAGATATAATCAGATACTGTATTTTGGCAGCTTGTGACCTCAGTTAAATGTAATTTATGTTAAGTAGGGTCGTTTTAAGGGAAAAAAATTACCACGTTAACCTTAGGCACTATGCCAGTTCAGCAAAAACCCATCGTTAGATGTGCACACACGCACAAGAAGATACTACACTCTCTGAAGTAGTCCTTAAAACACTTTAACCCTCACTCTGGGAGCATCCTCCATGATTCTCCACACTCTAATGCATCAAATACTAATGAGAAATAATGTAAATATACAGTATGTACCACAAGAAATGTTTAACTTTATTTTATATGTAAGATAAAATGTAAGACTAAACTGTATGCAGCCCAGTGAACAAATGCATGACTACATGTGTATAATTTATGTTTGAATGTGTCTGTTTTCTATTTTGTGAAAGTTTACACTTTTTTAATCCTGAAAGTCTTAATTTAGTTACCTAACCTAACTTTTTGTTTAATAAATGTCAGCATCACAAATGACTAAAAAAAACCTGAACCTGAATTAAAAAAAACCTGAATTAAATATCATGAAAACACTGATCATGATGGATAAAATGGAATTTGAGTAGGTGACACATAATTATTGAACTCTTATTGAGTTTTAAACTCATTTATGACACATAATGTTTTTATAAGTAAATCAGCAAGAAAAAGGAAGAATTTAGGGATCACTTATATTGCACCTCTACCTTTTTTAACTTGACCTGGTTGACTAGTTAGGCACTACAAGTATAAAATGACTGCACAGAATCTGGTGTTCCCGATTTCAATACGGTAACTTTAAGTCAAAATTCTCTAGCAAAAAACATTCTCTTCTACTTAAGAAATTTGCAAAAGAATTATTGTATTTTTCTGCCCTAAAACATGGTAGCAGATATATCTTTATTTTCCAACGAATGTTCTTGTAATGCAATCACACCTGTGCTAGCTGCTTATGCTAACTAAAGTTTGTTTAGCCTACTGAGCATCATAAAATATATCATATTCAGGGAAATGGAAGTTTCATTTAATTTTTTTAAATCTTATTAAAGTTTTATTTTAAATTCCCCCTACAAAAATGTCTCCCCATTCTAATAAAAACACACTTGGTGCTATCTGCCAATGCTAACTGAATTAGCTTTTTATAAACCTATACCTTTATATAATAAAATGTGTCCATAAATGAATAATTGAAACTTGATATGTTAAAACAAGAAATATGAACTTTTTTCAATTTCCTCCGTTGCTCAAATCTGGCTGTAACATTTACTACATCACAAAATGTGGCAATTATTAATGCTATTAATCTTTATTGAAGTGCTTTTGGGCTAAATCCTAAACCTTTTAGTTCTGCACTTTGACCATACTCTCCACATTCATAAATTAAATTTTTTTCTTTTTGAGTGAGGAATAATTATTGAATTTATACCAATATTCATTACAATGCATTTTCTGCAAACTAAAGTCTTTGGTTCGTGGTCTGAAGACAAACGAAACAAGTCAAGCCTTTTCAGCACTGCACTTTGTTCTTGCTAATCAATAATGCAATGAAATCTAAGGGATCATTCACAGTTTACATCCTCTTTACAAGTGTATAAAACATACACTTGGGGGGATAATATTAAGCTAGTATTATCGCACAATTTACCATTTGCACGTTGACACTGATTCATTTTGAAAATATAACCTTTGGAGTTTGTAAGTGATTATTATACAATAACTTTACCATAAAATAGCTGCATATGTTCTTTAATACTTAGTCCCAGCTACAATAAAATAGAAAAATAGGGAAAATCCTCAAATTTTGGTATGGTTTTAGGGGTAGAGATGGTCCTAAAAAGGTAGGTGTTGAACACTTGTTAAAATGTTGAAAATTGTGAATGAACCTTTACTTTATTCATGCAATATTATATTTAAAAAATATTTATTTAAACAATTTTCAACAGTTATTCCTCATTGGTAAAATCCATTTGCATCTATTATAATCCATAGTGTTAGCTGGTAATGCTAACTAATGCGTATGGTTCTGATAAACAGATTTTGTTGCAAAGTGAACTAAATTAAACAAACACTGTTTACAGAGTTAGTGACAATAGTCTCCAACTCCATATGTTCATATATTGTTTCTTTTTTTTTAACTGAACTGCACCAGGACTGAAATTTTCACTAGAGGCACCTTTTGCTTTTTTAATCTTGCTCAAATTGTGTTACTTTTTGTAGTTCTGTGCAGCCAATTGTTAATGTATGAAAACCCCTCCGAGGTTTTATTTTAATAAAATTGGGTTTTGTATTTATTTGCGACTACAGGGTAAGCAAAGGGCTTATCACCTTGGCAGGGTGCACAAACACTTCCAAGCCTGAACGTTTCCCTTTATTTGCAGGTTTCATGAAAGCAACATTAAAAGACGTCACAGTTTTACTCAGTAAAATCTTTATAAAGATCATTGTGAGGTAAATTTAGAGGTGATTCTTTTTTGTAATGAATCAAAGGCCTCCTTAGACTTAAACTCAACCGTTCCTTTGACCCTTTAAGATAAATACAGGAGTAGCTAAATAAAGAGTAGAGCACTTCCTAATAGTGGTTTCTAGAAAAAGTAAGTATCTGTTGGGTTTAAGTATTTATCTTGTTTTATACAGCATTGCACATTGTACCTGTACCATAGAAATTATATCAAAAATGGAATTTAATGAGCAAGAGTAAATAACGTATTGGTTGAAAACAAATGTGTGAACTTTAAAAATAAGGGGACATATTATAGCTACAGTTTGTGCTGTTGCTGTGTCACGTGAGACAGCTGAACGAGAAATAAATTATTTTCAATGACTTTAAGCATGTCATAAATGTTGCAGTGTCTTTTCTTGTATTGTGAATTTACCTTTCAGAAAAAACATAGATTGCATGTTGAAAACTTTATTTATTTCAGTGATTTAGTTCAACAATCTAACTCAATTATAAAATAATTACACACACAGTTTTTATTAAGCATTTATTTCATTTCATTCTCATGATGGGTTTCATACTGTGGCCACTCTAGTTACAGCTAAGATTTTCAATTGATATTCAATTTCTCACAAACTTGAAATGTAAAATAAGAATAATGGGGGGAAAGTGTTTTGTGATGTAAGCTATTGTCCTTTAAAGGAGCTTTGAATTTTTTTTTTTTTTTTGCCTAGAGCAATAAATATTTATATCATAGTGATTATATTATAGTAAACAACTGTTAAACAGGTCTTGAATCTAAACATAATTTAAATATAGCAATAATGAAAATAATGTTAATAAGACATTTTATAGCACTTTCTAAAAACTCAGACACTTTACAAGAATCAAGCAAGATTATAAAAAGAACACCTGACTGCACCAAGTAAAAGGAAAGAAAAAAAAGTAGCACTTAAATACATAGCTGAAGAGATTCAAATAGCATGTGGGTATAAAACAAAACAGCCATACAAGGCAAGACAAATTTATTTGTATAGCACAATTCAGTACAATTACAATTCAAAGTGCTTTACGTAAATTAAACAGTAAAATGTAAAGAAAATAAAGATAAAAACATGATAGAAGCAGGTTATAAAAGCAAATAAAAGAGTTGGACCAAAAGCTAAGTTAAAAAAAACTCATGAAAATTAACTAAAACTAACTAATGATACCTCAATTAAGATTTTAAAATCAACAAAGGCTGTTCAGAACAAATTAACTCAGACATTCTGCACTTTTACAGTATTTCTTGGAGTCATTTCCAGATAAGTTGAGCAAAGGAACTAAAAGCTGCTTCTCCATGCTTGGTTCTAGTTCTGGGTGAACAGAGTAGGCTTGAACTAGAAGACTTGAGGTGTCTGGGAGGTTGATACATTAACAACAGATCTTTTATATATTTAGGAGTATACCTTAAAAGCTGCTGTGTATCCTTCATCAAGCCAGGCCCTTAAGAAGAGCAACTGCATTATTATTATTACCTATATAGGACATTATATATTTATGGGCAGCCCTGCATCTTCCCATTATTTTCTCCAAACCCTTTGACTCAGCAATACAAATAATTTCTTATATCCTGACAAAAGGGATCTGTTCTTCAACTGATCTGACTTCTAAGGGAGACGAAATAAACAATAAAATGATATATACTATATTATGAATAGGAAAAATTACCTCTGATTAATTAATTAACTAATGCAAAAGTAGACATGTCTATTATATTTAACACCTATGTATTTTAGGGTCTAACAACTCTTTCTATAGATATTAAAGAGTTCCTAACAACTCATCCGATAATTCAATTCAAAAACACTTTATTAATCTCAAAGGTAAATTAAATGTTGCAGTAGCTTTTTTCAATGAGTTTTTGTAGGTAAATAGCTGTAGAGGAAGGATCTTGTGTAACAGTCTGTCTTGCACCTGATCTGGAGAAGCTTCTTACTGAAGATAATTTGTTTAAAAATCTTCTGAAGAGGATGCTCACTGTTGTCCACAATGTTCTTCACTTTATGAAGACTTCTTCTTTATAAAATAATCCCCAGAAGTTCTTGAGGAGTTCCTAGAACAGAGACGGGCGTCTTTAATAGCTTGCTGAGCTTATAAGTCATTAGCTCTGATACTGTTACCCCAGCAGATGATGGGAGAAAAGATCACACTCTCCACAACAAACAATAGAAGACATGTAGCATATTATTGCAAATGATGAAGGACCTAAACTTCCTTAGGAAGTACAATCTGCTCTGTCCCTTCTTGCAGACGGCTCCATAGCTGCGTCTCCAGTCTATTTTTCTTTCAAGGTGAACAACAAGGTATTTATACTCCTTCACTTCTTTTCCCATGATGTTAACAGGATTTGACTTGTTCCCGTTTACAGCTTGTTTTTTTTTTTTATCATTTGATGTGGAAGAGTTTATCTTCTGCCTGATATTAATATTTTGCACTGATTTTTTATGTTTTTTTTTGTCTTTAAAATTTTGTCTAAATGTTTTATAATATTAAATAATACATTATCCTCTTTTTCTTAAGAATAAGGTCGCCTTTTACACAAAATATTATTTTACTATGAGTAATTATTTGGGGATTCTACCTCACCTTCCTCTTCATAAGTCTCCCTATGGATAAAATACATGTGAGGTTGCTGGCCGAAAGAGCCCCTTTGTCATATCATGGTATTAAACTACAATATGAACTTTTGACCACACGGTTAATGCTTTGCCTTAAAATGAAATCAATACCGCCATAAAATCAACAAAGATGCAGGAATCATTCATATATTTGCAGGTACATAAACAAAAAGGACCAATGTATTCTAAAGACATGGCTCCAGAAATTCTGTTGCATGTGCCACCTCTTCTTTCCACTTGTATGACTGAGTACAGAACAATGAACAGCCAGTTATTTGTAATCATTTAAAACCTAATCTCCCAGTTGAAGGTATCAGTAACTCTGCTGGACAGCTGAGACCAGCAGTGTTAATCATTACGGTGCAGGGCACAACAGTTTCTGTACTACAAATATAATAGAAGCTAAATGCTTCGTTTTTTTTTTTTTGTTATAAACATTTAATGAATGCATGATACATTTTTCTGTCTAAATCCAAAATATATGATTCAATGAGCTGAATTATTGATATATTGATGTTCTAAATTTATTGTGATCCACACAATAAGAATGACCAAGCATTGTTTAAGCATTTCACATCTTTTATTTTTGCATTTCAATTCTTCAACAATTTAATTGCACCCAGATCTACAATAGTTTGAAAACGTGCACAAAAACGTGAGTTTCTTCATCCTGCAAAGAATAAAAAAAATAAAATCTGACCCAGGCAAAAAAGGATAGCAGGAAACTAGTGTTAATTCTATAGCTCTCCTTCTAGTTAATTATAATTTAATACTTCAGCTTAATATACTTATAAAGACAATTATGTCTTTAGTTTTGCCCCTTGCAGCATTCCCCAGCCCAGCAGTTAAAAAAAATATTTTCTCTATTTAAAACAAATATTTCAATGTTATCGACACCACAACTATGGTCTTAGTTATTTCTGAGAAAAGAAAAACTTTGTGTCCAGGATGACTCCTGGGGATCAAGGTCCACCAACCTTATATCAAATCAATGTAATGCTCCAAAAGTCCAGATTAACAAAAGAAAAAAAAAAATATACAAAACCAGATGATAACACAGGAATGACACAAAAAACGATTACTGAGCAAGTTAGAAGTGAGACATGATATAGCTTAATAAGATCCGTTAACCCGCACTAAACAAATCACCTTCAGACTTAAAAATTGTATTGTTTTTCCTGCATACATATTCAGCTCCTTATTACACACCAAAACCCGTTAAACCCACAATGCCTCATTCAGGAAGTACAGCTTCAAACAGCAAATGCCAAATATTAATGAATTCTACTTATACAAGGAACTGTATAATAAATAAAAATAAATATTTAAAAAGAGGGGAAAGAACAGTCCATCTATTATGTTATTGTGTTTTTTTTCTATTTTTTTTATTTTCTAAGAAAAATCTGATGTAAGAAAAATCTTATTTATGCTTTTCAGATTTTTCTAAAACATGATACTTACAGTTTATCAAGAAGATCTTACAGATATACAGCAAAACAAGAGGAAAAATACAACAGAAGAAGATCTTTGAAAACTATATGCAAACAGAATTTAAAACATAATAAATAAATAAAATACCAATAGCATTATGGTGTAATTACAACTGAAGTAGATGTCTAACCAATGCAGGAGAAAGCTGTTGATTTATAGTACTTGGTTTTTGCATTAAGTTCAATAAGGGACCTCTTGGTAAAAAGTCGGGGCAGGGGTTAAAGTAGATGCTGATGAAAATCCTCCATGTCAGTTGGCTGCAAGGCCAGTAGCTTCAGAAGAAAGCCTGGAAAGAGAAAAATGACATTTAAAGCCAACTACAAAGTAAAATAAAAGAAAACAAAGGATAAATGCTACAGTTGTCCAAGTATCTATATGCAATAATAACCAATGAAAATGTCCAATTTATTGTATCTGATAAACAGCAGTATAAGTAAAGTATAAGGACAGATGAGGAATCTGACCTGCTGAACGAGGATGAGATAAATGAACATATTTTTCCATTACATCTTTTCTCAAATGTGACATCAAATAACAGGGTTCCAACATATTTTATATTTTAAACTGTCATAAGTTTTTATATCCAAATGTGTTTTGTTTGTTTTTTTAACACATCTACTGTCTCATGGTATTGCATTCATAAAATCTGATTACAACATTTAGTAACATTTAAAAAAGTAATGGAACAAACTGGCATCCAAAAAACAAAAAAAAAATTTCTGAACCGCTTGTCCAAGATACATCTTTGATTTGAGAAAGCTTTTAAACTAAACAGGATACTGTAATAATTATAATATAAACAATAGTTTTTTTATTAATCGAATCAATTTCAGTTAACAGATTATTTAAATAATTGTCAACTAATCTAGTAATCGAACTGAACTTGAGCTGACAAAGCCACTTAGAACAGTAATTAAACAAAAAAAAAAATGTATATACATACACACGTGTGTGTGTGTATATATATATATATATATATATATATATATATATATATATATACATATATATATATATATATATATATATATATATATATATATATATACATACATATACATATATATATATACATACATACATACATACATACATACATACATACATATATACATACATACATACATATATATACACTTTGTATTTCAGATAAAAAATTAAATAAAAAAACACCTCTGTCAATATGCTATCCAGAACTCCTCAAGTGGAAACGTTTTAGTTTCACCTGCTTCAATTTTGTAAAGTTTTCATTTAGGGAACCTCTGGCTATCCGATTCATAAGTAATTTAAAAATGTCATGGGATAGTCTCCTCTCCATCTTAATTTCTCAGAATCCATGTTTGCAGGCAACAAACAAAGAAAACAAGATAGCAAAACAAAAAACAACATCACTATGTTCAAGTTTGGGATCCATTTTTGTATATAAATCATAAAAAAATATACCAACTAAAGAAGTTAACAGGATTCTGTAGCTATAAAGACAGTGCTGGCAGTAGCTGCACCAAAATATTAAGTTCACACTAGATTAAGGCCAGAGTTATTTTTAATAAACCTTGTGTTTTCCTTAGCTTGTCTCAGATTCCTGACTAACATGAACAGGAAAATGAAACCCAATAAAATTAGATTAAATGGTTATAAATTCAGCGGAATGAATCCATTCCTGCTACAGTAACAGACATGCTCCAATAGCTTGGAGCTTCTCCCTTACCGAGCGTTGATCAGGTACTCCGCCAGGCTGATGCTGGCATGGGAACCAGTGATGGTGACCTGTCTGTCAGTCGAGCCCTCCACTGGGTTGGCAATTTTTATCTGGGCCCCTGACATCTGACGGATCTCGTTGATCTTTGCACCCTGACGGCCTATAATGCAGCCGATAAGCTGACAATGAAAAAACAGAATGTTTTACTTCCATAAAGAAATGCCTTTGTTCAAAAATGGGAGATGAGTTCTGCAGGTGAAACAGACAAAATAAAGAAAATTTAGGACTTAGCGTTAAGAGCGACTTACATCATTTGGAATGGTCAGCTCATGAGAGCCAGTTTGTGCAGAGGCATCCATCCCAGCTTTAAGAGAGAGCAAACGGAATAAGAGGAAATGTGGGAGGAAAAAAAAAAAAAAAGGTAGAAAACCGATCCACCTACCCTGGAAGCCCTGGTTTCCATGTGCAATGGGGAAGGGGGTCTGCTGCATGGCCAGCTGGTGAAGTTTAGTGAGCTGTTAAAAGAATTGCAAAACAAAACCAGAAACGGAGAAAAACAGACCATAAGCAAAAAGTTAAATAATCATTGTATGAAATCTTGCATGTACTTAAAAATGACAATGACCAGAAATTGTGAAATGAATCCATGATCAATTCTAGCTCTAAAAATAACTGATTTGTATCCCATCGTCTTAGAACTTACAGTTTCTTACAAAAGTATTCACACCTTTAAACAGCTTCACATTTTGTCACAGCACACCACAATCCTTGTTGATTCATGGGAGTTTTATGATAACTAAACACATGGTAGGTAGGAGGACAGCAAGGTTTTTAATACCTTTTCCAAACTAAACTCTAAAATATATACTGTGGATTTCCATTCAATGCACTTTCCTTTAAAAAGCCACCTATTTAGTAAGTTTAGCTGATCTGTAGTTAACAAAATAAGATGATGGACAGGGCAGGAGGAAAGTTGAAAGGAAATTAAAAGCCATTTCTCAAAACACTACTCCATATTACAGCTACAAATCTACAAAAACAAAGCTGCAAAGAGCCAGGTTACAGCCTGAGATATGTGCCTCTACCAGTGACTTTCATATTTTGTGAGCAGTGTGCTCTTCAGGTGCGTTGCTATATTCAAACTGGTGCCCAACCAAAGGTCACTCTAGGTCAAGCTGTGTGAAAACATTTAATAAAAACTCAGGGAGAAAGTCTGGTCGTCTATGATGGTTGAGAAACTGCACAGGTAAATTCATTAGATCAATAGAGCACAAATACAAACAAATATTAGAGAAACCTTTTTTTAGAAAGCACTAAAATATTTTACATAAAAAAAAAAAAAATCAATAAATAAAGACAGAGTGGAGTTTCATTTCCATTTCCACTCGGATTCAAAGTGTTGGTACTATAGTTCTGTCACCCAAAGTAAGAATTATCGAAGTTTGTGGTTTTTAAGTGACTGAATGTAGAAAGTTTTGAGGATATGAACACTTTTGCAGGCCAGTGTTTATGGAGATGTTGATCCAGAATGGGTGGCAAAAAAAGAAATGGAAGAGGGTGGCATGGCTTCCCAGGAGCAAAGTTTTTAAATACATTGGATCACTTACAGAGGGCCCTTCACTTACATCAGGCTGTGGAATGGCGTGCTGCCCTTGGACAGCGTATGCCTGCAAGCAGAGAACAGCAGTTAGGAAGGAGGGAGTGGTGCCTATTTCCATCAGCACCCAGTTCTTAGTGTACTATGAGAACAAAGCAAGGCCTGCCACACCCACCACAGCAGATACTAAGGGTTAGACCAGCTACATTTCAAAGAATCACCATTAAAACAATGCTGCTCACCTGACCACCTGCAAATATGACAGGAGAGCCTGAGGGTTTGGGCCTGTATGGGATGGTTACTCCTTTCGGTGGAGACTGAGGAAACAAAAACATCTCTTGATTTTTCCAAAGTCATTAACAGCATCAGCCTGACAATCAAGATTTATACCTCGAGCATGACGACGCAGATCTGCTTGACACACTCGATGATGGACTGTGGAGTCCCCGCAATGGTGATGGCACGTTCTGTTGAGTTGGGCAGCATGTCCCCTGCTACTTGTACCTGAGCTCCTGCCGACTGCAGGAACACAAACCAGTCAGGAAATGTCCGGCACGAGGCGGCGCCCCAAATCAAACATTTTAGATGATGGCGGATTAAGAGAAACCAACCTCCCGGATTTCTTTGATCTTACAGCCACCCTTGCCGATGAGTGAGCCACACTGACTGGCAGGCACGACGAGGCGCATGGTTACTGGCGGTTTGCTGGTGGCCGTGCTGTTTGTCATGGAGGTGCTGATGTCCTGCAGGGAAAGTGGCACGAAATTAATTGGAAAACCTCAAAGCTTCAGTGTCGTTACTTTTGTAGAGTTAAAGACTTGTGCTGTAAAAATTCTTCAATTGCAAATAGAGTTCATCGTTTTTTCTTTGGCCTCACCGTCGGAATTTCTACCTCTCCTGGAAACCTAGGGAATTATTTTGTCATTATATAGGAAAGGTTTTGCTGAGTTTACACTAGAATAGAAATAAGCTAAATGTATTGATTTTTACTAGAGTTGATACTTGTGGTCTTTTCAGGTGCTTCATATGCCCTATAAACGTAGAACGATCTGCCAACCATTTAGATTTTTGTTATTCAGAAACAAAAAAAAAATTATAAAAAAAAAATCTAGATTTAAGAAGCTGGTGAATGATCTGATGTAATCAGTTTCTCAGTTTCTCTAGCCTCAGAATTTTAAATTAAGATTTTCTTTTACATTAGTTACACGTAGGTGGGCATTTATTGTATCTTTCATTGTTTGTTTTTTTTATACATTTCTATTCATGATAACAATTTGGCTTTCTCGACTTAATAAATTACAATTAGTGATGAAGAATTGGTTTTAAACAAAAAATGGGTGAATTTAGATTTTTTTTTTTTTTCCAATGGGACATTGTTAAAAATTATAAAATGTGGTTAAGATGGGATGTTTAGTGTTATACATCACACCTTTTTATGTGACCGTATCCTTAAGAAGCCCGTTTCTAATTTGGATATTCTTTCAAGAGTAGTGTTTTAATTTGGGGCTATGATTGCTGTGGCATGCATATCAAAAAAATAAGTGTTTTTATCATTAAAATGATGGTTAGGCTAAATAATGTGATAAAGTTTTAAGGCCACACGGTCCAGTCCTAGTTAAAGGTCAGCATGTGGCACAGTAATGGATCCTACACCTCACATGTGGAGGCTGTCTCTGTACAGCCATTCAGGCCTGCTGCGGTCAAATCCTAAACACGGAAAACTTTTCTGCTTGTTCCTCGTCTGTGGAAAAAAAAAAACAATGTATAAAGCACTGATAAGCAGAAAAGCCTATATTTGATAGAAGTTAAAAGAGAAATTAGGAGTTGTATTCTGAAACAACGCTCGGACAAAATAGGTGGAATCCATATTTTTAAAGCAATTTCTAAAATAATATTTGATTTCAAGGCAACATGGGGTACCAACTTCAAAAGTTGCTGCTAATGTTTGAAACTACCCATCTCTAACACATCACCTTATAGTTTATCACACAGACCCTCATGCAAGAAGCATCCATATGCTTTAATTTGTTCTTAAATTGTTCCAGCTTTTTTAAATCACATTTGAAATCTGTTTTACATGATGCATTCTGCAGCAACAACAAAAAACAAGCGAAAAGCTCTGATGGACTGAGAAGGGTGGCTTTTTGTTTTCAGCAAATGCAGACACTTGTAACACAAGGTACATATTGTTTTTGTTCATCCAGAAAGGACCACAGAGAGGTTTAATTTCTGCTTGAGAGCTCAATTGAGTTCAAGCAGATGTGATTATCCATCTGGCAAATGTCCTCGGTCTTTTAAAAGAATCCAGTAACACGGGATAGCGAGTGTTACATTTTCAGTTTTGAGGGGGGGTTGATTGGATTTGATCTCTCCCTGATGAATGCGTGCATGTGACGCAGTGGACACACACCTACAGCAGTGTTATTCCTAGCATGTAGCTAGTGGTTAGTGTAAATAAAAAAAGATTAACGTGTTGTGCTAAATTGGTAGCCAGTGCCTGCGTGAATCACTTTTCATGTAGCGGAAGAGTGCAGATCCTCCCGTTGCGAAAAGACGAATCTCTTCTCTGCATACTTTGCAGTTTTTGCTCCATGTTTGAGCCACGGTCTATATTTCATATTTTACAGCTACAGTTGATTAAAACAACATCTTCCAAACATAGTCGTGTGACGTTCTGTCCGCCTGGGAGCTACGTCGTCATGACAACAGACAAGCATGGCACTAAAGTGAAAACTCCCTCTCTTTAATAAGCAGTATATTAAGTGAGCTTTCCATTTGTTGCAAAACAATTAGAAGTACCACACTCCAAATTGGTCAATTTTTAAACCTTAAAAACAATATCAAAATTCATACGTTTAAGGATTTTAAGCACCTATACAAACCATGGTTCAAGGAAGTTTAGCTCTTCTTTTTAAGTTCATTTAAGCTCAACCTTTCTGCTTACAACACTTAAGTAAACGTAAGCTGCATCAACTTTTACGAGATGCAATGAGCAGTTTTTACCTCCTCCAGTTTCTCAATTATCATAGAAAAGGCTTTAAAAATGGAGGTGGTGGGTCCTGCGAGGGTTATGATCCTCTCTGGACAGTTTCCCTCTGAGATATTGATGCGAGCACCACTCTGAAGACAAAAAAGTTCAGACACACACAAAAAAAATTATTTTATGTCATGTGATGCATGGAACAACTGCAAAGGGGTCATTAGCATGTTTCTTTTTTCGGGGAAGATTAAAGTTTTTACCTCTTCTCTCATTTTCTTCACCGACTCTCCTTTCTGTAGAGAAACAACAGATTTGAGTATTTACAAAACACACCCAGGGAACAGAAGCAGATAACATCTTTCCAACAACAGAAACATCTTACCTTGCCAATTATGCTTCCAACCTCCTGCAAAAAATGAACAAAATTCAAGAAAACAGATTAGAATTGTTTTGCATGTAGCTTTTAGTAGCAGACTGAGCTTCAGGGGAAGGAGGTTTCTATAAAACCATAATAATTGAGCTTCACAGAATACGTAAACAGTAGCATGTAAACTTCAAAGCTTGATGAGATGGATACAAAAAAAGAGATACTCCAGAATATAGCTGCTGAACATCTTGGAATACTAATATTTAAAACATATTTCAAATTTGAACTGTTCTTAAGAGAGATGAAGGGTCTGTACATGCACTGTAAAAATGACATAGAAAAAAAAAGGTTTTTGCAAGAAAAGCAGACTGCAGATTGAGTTAATTTATCCTTCCAAATAATGCAAAGCTTCACGTTCACTTAGACTCTGGAGTTGAGAGTAGCGCCTGACTGCTTGTGTAGGAGTCCTCGTAGCCCTTCTGTCAGGCCCACCTGTTCCTTCCCTCCTACAGCACAAGGCAAAGGGCATTTTGGTCTGTACTTTTTCCTCTGTGGACAAGGGATCGATATGTATGGTGGGAGCCCTGCTCCAGCCTTTCCTTGTCTGCTTTTAAAGTCCAAATAATAAGAGCTACAGTTAGACTCCAAATTTAACTGTCAACTCTTGCCTAGCCAAGTTGAATAAACGTATTTACCGCACACATTGAATTGTCTTAGATATTAAGTTTCTTTCAAGGATTTCGATAAATGAAAATTTCAAGTAATTTCACTAAAACTGTTTGTGAAGGACGAATTAGATGACAGAAAATTAAACTGAGTCTTGAAAGCACAGAACAGTTTTCTATGATTGGGTTTGTCTGGATGTGTACATGGACTGTTTATGTACTACAGGAACTGCCGGTTTCAAATATTGTTGTTGCAAATTCCACCTTCTTTGAAGTCGTCATGTTTAATAAGCAGAGCTTGTAGTTCTTGTTTATAAATTACACCTGCTGCATGTGATCAAACAGGATCTATAAGGAAACAACCAGAGAAAGGATTTCCATTTAAATCTTTTCTTTCAAAAGTAAGGTCAGAAGTGTGGTTTAAGTCTGGGAATATTTGCTTTGCCCTCACTTCTTAACCAAGGTTACCTTTTCTAATTTTTGTTTGTATTCTCAAATAGAGTTTTCAGCAATCAGTTCAAACAGCACAATATCAGGATCTCTTTGATAGAAGTTGATTATTTTCCTAAATTATGGGAAGCAGATAAAAAAAAAAAAAGTTGAATTCTCAGGAATAGGCCAACCAACTCCAAAACAACACTTACTGGTATCGTTCATTAGAAGGGCTGCTTAGATCAGACCTAGCAGAAGGAGTTTACTTTCAATTTAATGAAATTAACGCCCTGTTCATGCAAATGGTTCTTTAGAAGACCGCTCAAACTCCTAATAAAACTTCAGGTCAAAGCACTCTACAGTACTTAAGGGTAATGTTAGGATAGTTATCACTGAAGATGTGTGAGTTTATTACACCCTGGTAGGGGCTGCCTGTTGCGCATCAGAACTGACGTTTTAAAGAGTTTGTTAAAGATAGGCTCGTTGTTTGCACCCTGATGCTCTCTCTCCGGTTCTTTTCCCTGAAAATAGATCACTCGGGACAAACTCTTTTAATAACACTTCATAACAAATGTATTAAATAACCAGGAGACATGACGACAGATTCTGAGAGAAATTGCAGTCTTACTCAGATCGGAGAAATTGCTTAGAATATACAAAAGGCAGCTTCTCACCTCCGGGCTCACCTCTCAGTGGCCCAGATTCACGTTACAGAATCCTTTTATACAATTTCAGTCTGCCACTTCATCTTATTTTACATCATACACGTTAGCAGATAATTAGACATCCGTGGCTCCAGTCTTATCAAAATATAACACTTAGTTCTAAGCTGAAGGACACCGCTCCCATTCCTTATCCAAATCTTTGCCACATACAAAATGAAGATTATATCTATAAATGTATATTGAGACAGAGGAACTGTCCTAATTAGTTTAAAACGTCAGTTCTGACACGCAACAGGCAGCCCATACCAAGTTGTAATAAACTCACATCTTCAATGATAATTATCTTAAAGGTAAAATGCCATAGATGTGAGATGGAAGCACTTACTACAGGATGTAAAAGCCTCATTTATTTTCTTCTTCAATTTCTGATAAATCGCAACAACAGAAATGTTTAAATAAAACAGAGGAAGAGCTCAATGTATTTAGAAAGGGAAAAGCAGTTAAAGAAACGAGTGAAGAGTGCGATTAATGGATGGATGCAGGGATGGGTAGTTAAAGGAATTGTTAAGTGGCTGGTTAAACAGACAGGGGGGTGTAAACATAGCTAAACAAACAGAGGGGGAATGGATAGTATTGCCGTTTACAGCTGCCAGATTGATGGAGAAACAGACAGATAAATGGCAGAGGTGCATAAAAGAATTGTAGGCAAGAAATATTATTGTTTTGATTAATGAAGACAGCCATTAAGTGCATTAAGATTAAACACAATCAGATGAGATCTGCAAAGTATTCACACTAAAATCCATATAATTTATGTTAATGTGTGATTGGAGGGATCAGTCTCACTCACCTTCCCATGCATGAGTAACCTGATGGTTAAGGTAACATTTAGTCCTCCTTCTACCAGACTGGAGTCCATTGCAGTCGTTTAATCCAAACACACCACACTTGGCAACAAAGTAGGTTTTTGGGGATTTGCTGAAAGTCTACAGAAGGGATGAAGATGAAGAGAGAGAAGTGTGGTTACTGAAACAGTGAGAACACCTGATTATGAAGCAGTGGTTTCAGGAAAGCTGCTGTTACAGCAGATCAATGGACTGAAACAAGCAGTTCACATTTTACCAGGCGATTGTTCCACTTCGGATAAACAGTGATTCATGTCGGACTGGCCAGTGTCCACTCATTCTCACTGACACAATGACCCCCTGTGTCCCTGGGGCCGCGTCTATTTCCTGACACTGACCTGCTGTGACGATTTAACTTTTACATTTACTATTATCTACATATATGCAGTATATAAAACATAACCCAGACCTGCAGCTACTCATAGAAAGCGAACAAGTATAAAGTGAAGGAATGTGTTAATAACCTCCGTGTTGCGAACAGGCATCGCGCAAAGTGATACAGGAAGGCTAAATTAGCGCCGAAGCGGGTCTATCCTGACTTGCTGAAAATATTGCCTACTAACAACACAATTACGCTACACGAATTGAAAAAATAAATCCATACATGCTTAAGATATTCCGGAAAAGTAGCAAGTTTGCACCAACTCTTCGGAAACCATCAATTTTGACACACAGTTCGGTAATTTTCCATGCTCAGCATGCTAGCATTAGCATAGTCCGATCCGGGATGTAGCCGTATCCCGCGGCCTGCGGATCGCGTTGGGTTCTCGCTGCCCTTCAATCCGAAAGGAAAGAAAACACAAAGTCTTACCCGAACCGTCCCTTGAAGTGTGTCCAGGGGGTGGATAGGGTGACAAGGGTGGAAGGGGAGAGGTTTGGGAGGGAGTTTTAAGAGGACTCGGGGAAGAGGGAAGAGACGCCGCTGTTTGATCGGACTCCACTCTTCTCTTCTGCTGTGCACAAAAGACAAAACAACTTTGACCCCGCCACCGTCCCGCCCCTCTGCTGGGTCACCACCGCCCACAGGAGGGTCTGCCCCATCATCCACTGAGCGATGGATGGACAAAACTATTTAGACTGAATCAGAGCATCCTGCTAGAAACGGTTTGTTAGAAAGATACAAAAGGTGTGATTTTAAAAACACTGCAAAACGCATCTATGGGCCGATGATGTCATTCATTCAGCTTGTTAATGTAAATGATTTACATGACTTCAAATGACGCGAGCTCAATCACAATAAAAACGTAACATTTTTTATTGTTATTATTGTTTTTAGGACTGATCAATGAAGCGCTGAGATTAAATATCAGTAAAATGTATAGAGTTCAAAGTAGGATTTCTGTATGTTACTGACAATGACATGTTAGGGTGTGAATCTGCTGCCATTTCCTGAATCTTAACCTGCATTGCCTGCTGATTGTGGTCAGAGGGCATGGTGGAGCCTATGGCAGCCTATGGCTTTTGGCAGTGTTCCCCAGGGCAGCAGTGGTTACATGCTAGCTTGCCACCAACAGCGTATGAATGCCTGGGTAAATGACAATGTATTGTAAATGCTTTAGAGGCCTCTGACTTGAAAAGCCGCTTTATAAAAACAGGCCATTTATACAGAACATTTATACGATTAGGGCCACTGAGAAAATAAAAACTGATTTGAATAACTGATTTTTAGATTTTATTTCGGTATAATATGAGAAAAAGGTCAGAATTGTCTCAGAATTCTGAGTGTTTTCTCAGAATTCTGACTTTAATCTGAGGATTCTAACTTTTTTCTCAGAATTCAAACTTTTTTTCTCAGAATTCTGACCTTAATCTCAGAATTCCGACTTTAATCTCAGAATTCTGACTTTAATCTCAGGATTCTAACTTTTTTCTCAGAATTCTAACTTTTATCTCAGAATTCTGACCTTAATCTCAGAATTCTGACTTTAATCTCAGGATTCTGACTTTAATCTCATAATTCTAACTTTGATCTTAGAGTTCTGATTTTAATCTCAGAATTCGGAGTTTTTTCTCAGAATTCTGATTTTAATCTCAGAATTCTGACTCCCCCCCCCCCCCCCCCCCCCCCCCCCCCCCCCCCCCAGAATTTTAAAGTTAATTTCAGAATTCTGACTTTTTTCTCAGAATTCTGACTTTTTTTCCCATATTAAACTGCAATAAAGTGTAAAAATCACTCAACTTTTTTTAAAAAAATTTTAGTGGCCTTAATCCTCTTCTGTACATTTACCATATTTACTGTATATACTTAATTTTAAAGTACAGCTGACCTTATATAATATTTTGCATATTTATTCATCTAGGCCAGGGGTGTCCAAGTTCAGTCCTCTAGCCATCATCATGCAACCTTTAGATGCATCACCATTTAAACACACCCAAATCAAATGAGACGCTCATTACCAGGCCTCTGATGAGCTGAATAATATACTGAAGAAATTTAGCGATTAGATTCAGCTCTGTGGGGGAAGAGATTAATCTAAAAGTTGCAGGATGGTAGCTCTCATGCACTTATTCCAAACAGGTATTTTAGTTTATTAATGCCCGAATAATTGAATTAAACAGTTCTTTTCCTACTTCCTAAAATTCCTATAGTACAAATAACATCAGTGAATTTTTAATGAATGAAGCATATATAGACATGTCCCTTCAAATACTTTGTCAAATGTGATAACATGCATGTACAGTTTATGTAGCCCCCAACAAGGATCTACATTGAACTAGATAGTTCAGGGACAGTCCAGTGATAGGGTTAGGGTTAAAGCTTTGCGAAAATGATTCCAGCTGATTGATTTTAGTATCCTTTTCATTTACTTACAACATTCCACTATTATTTTCCAATTTTGCATTATTTGTTACTTGAACTTTCAACTTTATGTCTTCTCTACTTTTATTTGTCTCTTATGGTGCTTTCATTTGTCTACCAGATGATGAAGCTCTTATAAGTAAAGACATATCAAGGTTTAAAAACAAAAAGGCAACTAAAAACATTTTAACTAACAAATCACCAGCAGCTATGGCATGACCTCAAAACTTGATTCATTACTTTCTTGTCTGACATTTCTTTTTTCAGTACACAATAAATCCATTGACAATGACCAATCAAATATTGCAATAAAACATACATCTTATCACTTATATTCCCAAACTACAAAAATACCACTTCACGGTAGAAAATTAGTGTGGATTCACACTTTGAAATATTAGAAAATAGTTTAAATACTGTAATATATAAATCTTGAAATAAATCCATACCTAGATGCAACATGTCTCATACAGTACATCAGATAAGTGCTGAACCTGGTAAACTACAGAGATCCAATTATTCTCTTCTTAGATTATCGGAAGGCTTTAGATATAGGAAGTCACAACGTTAGTCAGTCTATGATCTAAATTTGTAGCTTTTCAAGTTTGAAACTTGATTTTTAAAAATGTTGAATCCTCCCCTTATAAACTGCAGTCTGTTACATTTCTAGAATCCATGTAAAACACACTGTAACTTCTCTAGGTGTCTAAATGAATCCAATAAAATAAATTTAACAGTAGATTTTTATTTATCTGTTTATTGTAGAATGCTATCAAGAAAATCTTATGTTTTTATTTTTATAACTAGAGGTAATTGAAGAGCTTTATTCTGAGTTTGATAAGATGTTGTTCAAGTTTCTATGAAAAAATAAGGTACCATACATAGAATACAGAAAAATCTGTTCTTTATATTTATCAGCCTAAGGAGGTTTGGATGTTTTTACACTTACTATTATATTATTTATTGCTGCACTGCCCTTTCTCAGCTGAAAACATATAGTCTAATTAACTAAGTTAAGCTCAGAGCCAGTGCTTATGAGCTTTACCCATTCCAATTACATGGGACTTTTAGAAACCCGTATTATTTCTTTATTTGATCATAAAAAAATCCGACATAGTGACAGTTGCAAAGGTGGTTTGAGTTAAGAATATTATTTTTTGTCTTAGCTTTTTCAAGGGAACAAAAGTTTGCATTTAGAACTAACAAGAGGGAAGTTATTCATGATTTATTTTAGTTGTGTATTTTCAGATGGAAATTGCTCATTAAATCCTCTGAACTTCAAAGGTTAAAACAGAAAAGACTCATGGAAAAAACATCAGGGTCAATGCTCTTTGAATTTATTTAAACTACGCAGAGTAATGGATTTATTTCGGGAAGAAATAGTACTTTTTAGTAATTGTTGATTGAAAAAGTTTGAGTAGTTACTGTCAAAAGTTTGCATGAATTGCAAAACTTCATGCAAGTTTAATTTTCTATATTGCAACATGTGCTCAAAAATTGCACTGCAGGTTTTTACATACATGGGACTGTAAACATGTTCTCAGTTCTTTCTTATTTGTTTTCCATCTAATGTTGTCACCACAAAATATTTAGTAACTCTTTATCTAACTAAGATATATTTCTGTCTGGGTGGAAATGGCAGTTTTTCATTCTTATATGTTGTTAACATTGTTCATTCATGAAATAAGCTTGAAAAGCTGGCTCCTTTAAAATAAGTATTAACATCAGATATTAACTGACCAAATAGTGCATGTAGAGAATAGAACATTAGAACCTTGTGCATAAACCTTGAGGTGCAGCTATGATATACAAAGAGACATAGCTTGTAGGTGAGTCTGAGCATCATTTTATAAACCAAATTTTTTATGTAAAATTTCTTTTACAGATTTTTTTTCATATAATTTTAGTATATAGCCTACACCAGGGGTCACCAAACTTTTTAAGGCCGAGGGCTACTTCATGAGTCATATAAGGATGACCAATACTGACCTATGAATTGGAGGGATCAGCGTTCATCCTAACTTCATACATAATAAACACGTTTTTATTGGGAAGGAAGGAAGGAAGGAAGGAAGGAAGGAAGGAAGGAAGGAAGGAAGGAAGGAAGGAAGGAAGGAAGGAAGGAAGGAAGGAAGGAAGGAAGGATCAGCATTCACCCCCATACACAATAAGCATATTTTTGTTTTGTTTTTTTAACTCCTAATTTCCCTAATTATATTGTCCTTTTGAAATCTCTATAAATGCCTAAATGCTCTGTATGATTAAAGTGATGAATTGCTCTATAAATGATTAAAAAAGAAGAGAACAGAAAAAATTAAAATTTCAATCTAAGCCCACTGGTGAGTTGTGCTTTTTTTTTCAGAAGATGCTGTGGCCACCCCATGAGGCCCCTCAGGGCCCCTTGGGATCAGTGGACGTTTTGCTGACCCTCTTGTGTCGTTCCCTGCATTTTTACAAATAACCAGCAGATGGCTCTATAACACAGTGAGAGGCTTTGCTAAGCATCTTCTGTCGCAGTGTTTTCTCAATGTGATGTCTGTGGATATTTTATAAAAAGTGAAAATGTTATATCTCTTCTAAATGTTAATAATGATAAAACAAATAATAATAACAACAATGATAATCAGAGCATAAGAAGTAAAATGTTATGTTAGACAATAAAAAAAATCAAGGGGATCAGCAAAGAGGAGAAAATTAAGTTTTTACTTCCGAAGATATTTTATTGAATCAATTATATCCCAGAGATTAAATGTTAAAAGACTTTTAGCAAATCAATATTTTGGCAAAAATCAACAGATTTCTTTGAAGTCACTGGTACATTATAAAACTAAAACACAATAGTATTTTTATTTAATAAAGACCCTAACCTCATTATGCATGGACAACAATAAGCTCAAAAGTTTCTCAGAATTTTTAGCTGCGATGATAACATTGTTTGCAAAGCATGTTATGCAAATATAAAGAACAAGAAAGGCAATAACCAGATAGTTACAGAAGCATTTTTTTTTCTTGTACACATAACAAAATTGTGACTGCACATCTTTGAAAAGATTCCCCTTAATATTTCCTGTGACATTCAGACTAAGTTCAAATAAAACCAGACCATATCAATGTAAAAAATAAAACAAAATTAAAGAAACACTTTGTGATAATGTTTTAAGGGCCTTCAAGTTAGAGAGATTTAGGATAG